TCCTCACATTGTTCCAATTTCTAACACTATTTCATCTTCCAGTTTCAAAGACTGCATGACAGAAGTCTAGAATATCTCTTGTATCTATCGTGGGATAAAAGAAGTTACGTACAACCTCGTCTGGACACAAATCTACCAGTTCTACACAAATTCTTGTTTTAAACTTTAAAGAAAATATTTTTTCTCAAACTTACTCCAAATCTAATTTGCATTCTTCATTGGATGGCAGTAGGCAGAAGCTGTTCTCAGTTTTAAAATGAGGTCTGGATTTCATTTGTAATAGTCTGGCTTATGTTATTCTAGCAAGTCTTTGAAGTGAGTATGAATGCAACTTATGCCTTCTAAGAGGACTCCTTTTGCGTTGCCACGACAGTGCTGTCACGGGAAACTCAGTCCACCTAACGTTCAACTATTATGGATTTCAGAATAAAGAGTCCTACAGCCTGTATTAATAATAGGATGAAAACGATTACCAGCAATCAGTAATAGTGTCCTGTAAAGGGTGCAGATTTTTTTTAAAAAGAAATCTGGGATGACCTTTTTGGACACCGCTAAACAGTTCTTTCTCTAGATTTACTCCAACATGGAAACAACTCAACATAAATCTTTGGGTCCTCCACCGAGGAGGCAAAATCCCAGTGGAGTGCGAAAGACATTTATTTTTTTGAAAGAAAGAATCTCCAGTGCTTGTGAATTATTTTGTTAATAATTTTGAAGAAATACATATTAAATGGTTACAGTAAATAGCAGGGGATGTACTAGCTAAATTAGCTTGATTTGTACTTAAGAATATCTCTTTTAGAAGGTTTTTTGTGCGCAGAAAACAGGGTAATGCAATCCTAAACAGTGTTTCTAGGAAATGCAAATGTTAAAAAGCAACTTTTGTACAATATCTACTTTATATGTCATTTTTGGCTATTGATTTTCAATACAGGCTTATCCACTCTACCTATACCTTACATTTCTATGGGGCATCATTTTCTTTTAAACATCTCTGTAAGCTGTTTTCCACAGAAAACTTCTATTTTAGTTGTTCAATATAGAATTGAAAATAGTACATCTTTATTACTCAGTTGCTGATCGCTTTATATTGGCACTCACCAAATGTGAACATTAATTTTAAGATCTTGGGTTTTCTTGGTAAGGCTGTTCAAAGTTTAAATATTTATTTGCAATAATTCTATCTTTCTAGCTCCATTACAATTACTTTGGCACCAGACTTCTGACTGAGCTGATATTTAGATAAGAGAGGATGGATTCCAGTCCCTCCTGGGCTTATAAACTAAAGCGCTTGTAAGGGACGAGGCCCACGTGTCTGTGCTGTAAGCACAGAACATCCATTACAATTACTTTGGCACCAGACTTCTGACTGAGCTGATATTTAGATAAGAGAGGATGGATTCCAGTCCCTCCTGGGCTTATAAACTAAAGCGCTACAACTAGGGACCTGTGCAATATCTCTCCCAAATTACAGGCAAAGCACTGAAGGAATGGTGGGTGAAATTCTGTTAGTAATGATGCTGCTAAATTGCAAAGAATGGGATTCTGACCTCAGTTACAATAGAGGCATTTTTTAATTATTTGTAATCAATTTTTAACACTACACCCTTTCACTGTGGCATTTTTTCTTTTAAAATATTGAAGGAATGAAATTCTGTTAGTAATGATGCTGCTAAATTCTAAATTATGGGATTCTGACCTCAGTTACAATAGAGGCATTTTTTAATTATTTGTATCAATTTTTTAACACTACACCCTTTCACTGTGGCATTTTTTCTTTTAAAATATTGAAGGATTTCTAAAAGATTTTCTTAGGTAATGACATTTCCTGCCTTTCCATCTATTCTTATGAAATACTGCAGATTTTTTCAAGTACGGATGAAAAATTAATTCTAAAAATAATTGGATACTTTACTATCAAAAATGCTTCTGCTTTCTCATTTGTATTCACATTCTACAACTAGGGACCTGTGCAATATCTCTCCCAAATTACAGGCAAAGCACTGAAGGAATGGTGGGTGAAATTCTGTTAGTAATGATGCTGCTAAATTGCAAAGAATGGGATTCTGACCTCAGTTACAATAGAGGCATTTTTTAATTATTTGTATCAATTTTTTAACACTACACCCTTTCACTGTGGCATTTTTTCTTTTAAAATATTGAAGGATTTCTAAAAGATTTTCTTAGGTAATGACATTTCCTGCCTTTCCATCTATTCTTATGAAATACTGCAGATTTTTTCAAGTACGGATGAAAAATTAATTCTAAAAATAATTGGATACTTTACTATCAAAAATGCTTCTGCTTTCTCATTTGTATTCACATTTCCTAGCTCTTTTTCTGTACTATACCCCCAGCTTCAAAGGCTTTCCACTTCTTTTCCCATGACAAGGATTGTAGAAGTCATATCAAGATCAGGCAATAAAAACATTAACAGAAGCATCTCACAGCTATTAAATTAATAAATATATTTCTGTAATTAATGTATTGCATACACACACATATATATACACGTATATAATATGTGTGTGTGTATATATTCTGGTTGATAACACGGTGCTAGCTTACTGGCAAGTAGAGATGAGGTCTCAAGGAATGCTCAACAATGTTAACCAAGTATTGAGTTGGCAGTGGTCAGACAGGTCCCTAACATACTCCTATTTATAATTTTTATTCAAATACAGTGAGGTAGCACTGTGATACGATACAGACCAAGGCCTCCACTGCCTAAAGGGGGAGTCTAAATATCCGTCTCAGAGGTAACCAAGAACTTGATTCAGTTATCGAGAACGTAAGCATTTAGCGACATTTGAAATCCTCTGGGATTCATAACACTGAAGGAAAAAATTTCTTTACTGAAAGAGTGGTTAAACATTGGAACAGGCTGCCCAGGGAAGTGGTTGAGGCACCATCCCTGGAAGTATTTAAAAGACGTGTAGATGAGGCGCTTAGGGACATGGTTTAGTGGGCATGGTGGTGTTGGGTTGACGGTTGGACTCGATGATCTTAGAGGTCTTTTCCAACCTTAATGATTCCGTGATTCTATGAAAAAAGTTCAACCCTTAATGGTTTAACAATACAACGGGAAATTGGTCAAAAGCTGAGATCAGTGTCATGAGCCTGAAAGCAACCATCAAAAGGTTTTACTTACAAAGGACCATTATAGAGCAAACTATATCAACATATTGGTATCAGTATCAATGACTTTGAGCCTGGACTTGACTTTCACATCAATGACCTTCCAGTTTATAATGATACCCCTCACTGAATATGGGAAACCCTTTCTATTTCATAAGCAACCTCAAAATTGATGCACATAGATGAAAGCAAATAACAAAGATGGAAAGGAAATGCTGTATTACAGACCACTACTACCAACAGAGGAAGTCAGGGAAAATTACACAAATCCAAATGTCAACATAAAACATTGCCACAAAATAAGGGAAAGAGATGTGTTCTCTTCGAAAGACAGAATAGTTGAGACTGGAAGGGACCTCTGTAGGTCCCTAGTTCAAACCCCCTTGCTCAAAAGCAGGGTCAACTAGAGCAGATTGCTCAGGGCCTTCTCCATTTGGGTTTTCAGCCTCTCCAAGGATGGAGACTGTACAACATCTTTGTGCGATATGTTCCAGTGTTTGACAACCCCCCCAGCCAAAAAAGTGAGGGTTTTTTATATCTAAGAGGAATCTGGATTAAGATTTCAGGGGCATGATCATCATCCCTCCTTAAAAATGAGCAGAAAAGCAAGCTTCCATACTTTGAATGGAAGAGTTCATGCTTAGAAAGTTAAAATAAGCAGCTATTCAGATGGGATAGGAGAGAAATGTTGTCTCTTTTTATAGGTATTCCTGGAGCTTTAGGGGATGTCAGGAGACCACAACATCACAGACAGACAGACAGGTTAGCATACATGAATCAAAGACATGTCAGGAAACAGTGCCAGGAACTAAAAGGCAATGCAGACAAGCCGTTGGCATTTTGAGTATGAACACCGGCAGAAAACTTTCAAGTTACAAACACAGATAATTAAACTAAAGAGCTAAAAGCTACTTCCAAAGACACAAAAAGCCTTCAGCTCACTGTAGTGTCAAAGAAAAATTAGGATTATAAAACAGTTGGTAGGTTCTACCACAGCCTTTTCTGATGATGCTTATTTTACCTGCTCACCATTCATGAATTTTATTAACTTTTTCCACCAGAAGAAAGGCTTTGTTTAAAAGCACAGAGTCTACTACACTTATTCCTTACTGCTGAGTGTTACCATTAACAGATGAAGGCAAAATGAAATAACAGATTTTAAACATTCTTGTAAGCTTGGATTCATCTAGACAAGAAGTTAGGCAATTCCCATTTCTTTCCTATATAACACTCCCCTTGCCCCATATTTTAAACATACTTGTAAGCTTGGAAGCAAATTCATCTAGACAAGAAGTTAGGCAATTCCCATTTCTTTCCTATATAACACTCCCCTTGCCCCATATCCTGTCCTTGTTAACAATGAACTCTGGCAGATCCTTGATATTTTCTTAAATGTAGTAAAATTTTGCGTATCTTAAGACTGAGGTGTCAGTAAGATTATGATGCTTTATTAATGGTCTTCTCAGATTGTTACAGAACTCACTTTCCATTTCAATTCATTCACAGAAAATTATTCTGCATACAGACAAAAGGATGAAGCGATGACCAAAGGAGTAGATACCATTGAGAGAATAAACTAGAACCCTTAAATTCTGTCAGTTCTAGGTGAAAGAGGGAAGAGAATGAGAAAGAAACTCATCAGCTGATGCTACCTGTAACCACCTCATCTAAGAATGCAAAAGGAAACATTGCAAACCAAATATAAACAGGTATAAGACACTTCTCAGTTGAAAAAAAAAAGAAAGGTAAGGGGAAAAACAAAGGTGTATGTTTAAAAAAGAGGCAAAAGAGAGAGAAAAATATAGATTTTTTTTTTTTCCCCAAACCATGGCCATGTGCATAATATACATAAAGGTCCTTACCTTTTTCACTGACACTTTCACTTTCTATCTCCACATCTTCACAGCTAGTATATTCTGGTGTTGATGCCCCTTCTTCCTCTGAGCTACTAACTGACATCTGCCTTTTCTTTCCGCCTCTTTTTGCTCTATGAGGCTTTGGAGGGGATGGCCGCACTGATTCCGACTGGTCAGAACTAAGGGAATCATTCCTTAGCATGGTCTCCATTTTCTCCCGCTTTGCTTTTCGCATGAGAATAGCAGAGCTAGGATCAAGGCGGCTCTGTTTTTTAAAAGAATCGTGGTTCTTGTATTCTACGTGTTCTATAGGAACTGGACTATGCCTGGGAGTTGGTGGACTATGATTAGTTAATTGTTTAGAAACAGAAATTCTTACATCACCTGTTCTGTCTATAGAGTACGACCTCTGAGTTTCCACAACAGATTTTCTGTCCTGAGTTCCCTGTAATTGTGAGCGTTTTCCTAATTTATTCTCAGGTACCTCCGCTTCCTCCATTTCTGTATGTGGCAAAGCTACATCACTGTGTCTTCTCTCGTGCCGTGCTTTAGAAACTTTCGCATGCATGCGCATCTGCTGTTCCTCAGGATGTGGTTTTACAGGATATCTTGCCAGATTGGGGTCACTCCTGTAACGGGTATGATATTCATCTTCCTTCCTTTGTTTTTCATCATCAGGCACTTTGCCTTCCTCAAGTTTCTCTGGCAAGTCTGGGTAGTCCTGTGACTTGCCTTTCTCCAGCCTTCTACCTTCATGCCGTTCTTTACGCTCCCTGTCATCTGCTGGTCCTTCTTTTTGAAGTGAGGACTTTGGCACACGCTTACGCTCACTCTTTAAACCTTTGCCATTCTGGTCTGAAACTGATAGTGTCTTCTTCCTACAATGAAAAGGAGTACAATAATTTGAAGAATTTAATGCAAAATAAAAATATTTGTGTACACTGTTATGGTAAATAATAGATTATAAACCAGGATAAGCTATGGCAAAACATATAGAAAGGTACTGGATCCATTAACATGAATTAAATCTATTAATCCTTCCAGCGGTACTTTTATTTTCCAATAGCAAACAACTTCCAGAGTCCACAAAAACATAAATTATGGAAGGTCCAATTAATTGAGTAAAATCACAAAGACTATTAACATGGATAAATGCAGATAAAAATAATTTACCCACGCAAGCAGGAAGACTCAAAGTCGTCTTTGTAGTAACTGCAGCGCTATGACGGAGTATTGGTGTATGTTCTCCATTTTTCTGGCAGCAGTCATGAGGGTTACAAACTAACCACATATATACAATGCACTTGAAGCCCCCTGACAGTATAAATATAAACACCGCCAAATGGAGTATTTCCCACAATGGTATTACAGACAGAAGTAATACGGATATTAAAAAATGCAAAAGAGAATATATCCAGAAACAATAATATTTGACCTAGTTTGCTTTATCTTATTAAAACTCTAAAAAGAAGTGCCCATTTCATAAGCATATTAAAAAAAGCAAATTCACTCCTTGAGATAAATTAATGGCATTCCTTTCGCTGGTAATAAAAGAGGATAAAAAATGTAATTTATTTCTCTATACAGCCAAAGTACAAAACAATGAATGAAGCTGCATGAAAATTATGCTCTCTCCTCTTTCATCTTCTGCTTTGGGAGAATAAGCAAGCCAAAGAATCATAAAATCCCCTTATACTGGATATTTTTATTTCTCTCATTTTTCCAGTTGCCCTTTTGTTTACCAGTTCACATATGAATCCATCGATTTTGAAGAAGGCTGAACAGAGTTATACACTGTATTTGAGATGAACCTGCACCAGGACAAAGTCACTAGGACTTTGTTTTATGGCACTGAATCTTCCCTTCCACAACTGATAAATCTTCAGATTACATATGACAGATTTTCACAGATGCATCCGACAGGACAGGCAAAGTTGGATATGATACAAGTTAAGTTTCTGTCTCCTTTTTGTCCATCTCCTATTCCTCCTGAGTTTTTGGCAATAAATGGGACCTGAGCTTACCATAGATGCTCTCCATTCAGAACCCTTGAACTTCAACTGAAAGTCTCAATGACAACTAGAGAACATTACTATTGTATAATTAATATAACCATCTCACTTTTGGACAGCAAAGTAGAAATAGAAAGCATTTTGCTGCCCTAAAAGTGTCCTTCAGCTGAGTGATGACTGCTCTGGGGGCCTTCCCAGTGCTGGGGGAAAAACAGTCAACAGAATTAGGGGAGGGCACCATGTGTTCATTTACGTCATACATATACATAACACTAACCCAAGTTTTGGTACAGTTAAACCCAGACAGACCTCACCCACACAGTAAGTTACTAGCCAATGTTCATCATCCATTTTCAACTTCAATAGCTATGAAAAAAAAATCATCAACCATTCTGGCCAAGGGAGAATCTTCTGTGCCAGACTCTTGTTTTGTTGCCACAGGCTCCCTCCTCAACTGCTCCGCCATCTGCCAGGCAGCAGCCAAAAGAACAGCAACTGCTTCATCACATTAGCCTCTCTTGATTTGCTACTCTTCAACCCATTCATCACAGTGAATGCACCTCAGGAATTTACTCATTTACTCACTTAAAATATAATAGTTTGCTTCCGGTTGGCTTTATTCTTAAATGCAGCTTGCTCTGAATTCAAGATGGTACTATTGCTGTTCTTCATGAATGTTTACTTTGCAGGTGTAAATGAGCTCTTTTAATAGTTCTTATTTTATTATTAAAAATAATACAATCATTGATAGAAAGATAACACATAAGGATACCTGACAGAACTCCACAGGGTGGGTTTTTTGTTTGTTTGGGGTTTTTTTTTGGGGGGTGTTATTTTTTTAAATTCTAGTACATGATTTCATCAAGTTAAAGGCTTGTTCTTTGTTTAATAGCTTTAAAATACCTGCCAAATTTAAAATTTAAAAGTAACCTACCATTCTATATTAAAAGTGTACACCAAAATGCATTGAAGTACATGGAAATATCCCTAAAATACAATTAGTATTTTTTCTCCTCATTTCTTTTGCACAGACCAAATCAGACAATGTATTTGCTAGTGAACATTTATCCTTCCCTGGTCAGTAAATCAACTTACTCTTTGTTTTTACACAGTTCTAGAAACACACAAAGGCCCAGCTGACAGCCTTGTGTACTGAACCAGCATTTATAATTGTGAGGCTCTATTGAGACAGAAAGCATTACCTCTCTCTTGGAGGTTCACTTCTAGACCTTGATGAAACTTGTTTTTGGTCTAGGCCCATAGCCAGCTGCGATACTTCTGCTCCTTTCCTCCGGTCGGACTGCACACTGGAAGAAGAGATTTCCTGTGATGAGGCAGTTGCTGTACTTAAGGGAGTCTGCGATCTCGATCGCTCTTGAAGTCTTCCTTTCTTTTCTCTCGGTGCATCTGAGCTGCCACCAGTTGCCGTATCACTCAGTGCTCCGTCCTGGCTGGGTGAGGGCTGTGGTCCACTTCCAAAAAACCACGCTCCGGATTTCGTTAGGATTTCTTGTTGCTTTCGACATAAATTGCATACCCACATAACCTAGTTGAAGACAAGAAGAGTCAGTGCAGCTACCCCTTAGACCCTGAAATGCATGCTCACTATCACAGAGCAGGTACGATCTCTCGCTCTCCTCTAAACTGGTGAGGTTGGTGCTCAGGACAGTACCCAGAACATGCTTCTCCAAGCACTGACTGCACTGGCTAGAGCCAAGCATCCTACAGGCACATGCTATGCGAGCTTCTCCAAAATGTGCTATCAATATACATCAGTCCTACCTGTAGCAATCCCCCCTCAGCCCAGCCCTAGCTCTCTTCTGAATAAACACCGACAATACGACCAGCGCTTGTTGCTGGTGTTGATGCAGTTGGTGGGGTGGGTCGGGTTGTTTTCATTGGTGTGGATCGCTGTCAGGACAAGCCTACCAGACTGTAAGCGGGACTTGTACCTCGGGTGGCGGAGTCCTGCCCAGCTAACTCTCAGCCTCTGCCGCCACAGAAAACTGACACGGTATTTCCCTTAAGTTAATTTTTCTCACGTAACATAACTCAACATTATCCTGCAAATAGATTCAGCATTTACTGTGCATGGTTTTAGCTACATCCACAACAACTACTTACCAGAGATGTGAGGTAAGACCTAAAGAAACGTACTAATAGAGAACTAAATGCACCAATGAAAAGAATGAAAAAGTACCATATTTTGTACTACTTGGAAATGATCATTTACCATCTCTTTGAGTTATAGCTGCAAATAATAAATAAATAAAGTAAACATGTCCCTGGCAATCGCAATTAAGCTGTGTACATAAACAGTGCTTCTTAGCATTTTTAATTTTTTTTTTTTAATTCCAGTTACACAGATAAACAGGAGCACACACAGTAAAGCGAGACTCTATATAGTTTCAAGTCTATATACAGTATAAGACAGTCTTATGTACAGGAGTAAATCACCAGAGAAAAATAAAAGGTTAATCAGGACTCTAAAGTGTGTGAATATTTAAGAAAAAATTGAAAGAAAGACAACAGGAGTTTTGAGGCAGAAGAACAAAAATGGCAAAATGCATGAAGAATATACAAGAGGTAAGAATTTTGTCAGAAATAAAAATAGAGATGAGAGGAAACAAAGCTGACAACTAATAAGGAAAATTGTAAAGAAAATCTTTTTGTTTAATGTGGAAAGAAGTAAAAGAATGGGTAAAATTGTAAAGAGGACAAGAAGGATAACAAAAGTTGGAATAAAAAATACGCTTAAATTATTTTGTGTAAACACAGGAATGATGCAACAGTTGCAAAATTATACAACACTTAAAATTAAAAGGAACAGAAAAAACAATCACTTCAGGGAAGAAATTGCAACAGGATAAAGCTCTGGTACTGAACTCTCTTACTCTCTGGCCTGGGGAGGAAGTGCATGGCTTACAAAGCATGATGAAAATTTTAGGCATTTTACATATTTAACATAATTAAGATTTATTTAAAACACCCTAGAATAGACTATCTGTTTAGGTCTGAAGACTACATCAGAACTTCCAATACCACTTCTGCACTGTTTGTCCAAACCACACTGAGAAGACATCCAACTCTTTTCCCTGTATCTGGATTGTGCCTTTAGCAAAAGATGACTGTTATATTTCTTCTATTTAAGAAGGATAATAAAATAACTATTAAAATTTTAATTAATTAAAAAAAAACTTAATCAAAAGCTGCAGTTATTCCAACAGTGGCACAAACACGTATTATGATAAAAACAGATAACCCTCAGTAGAATAATAGGAACAGCAACTTTGACAAAATAAATGCTAGACCTTTAACAAAAAGTCCCTTGATTCCAAAATGTCTTATTTCCTTCATCTAGTATACCTCACAAAACAGAGATTCAGTTTATCAGACTATCTGTTCTAATAGAATAGATTTTTAGTCTATCTGGTATTATTATTGCAGGAATTTAAAAAGCCAGCAAGACTAAAAGGAAAAAAAACCCACATTTTTAAATGTCTTTATAGACTCTGACACAATTGTTAGCTCATTAGACAGCAAGAGTGTGCATGCACACGTGTCTGTGTATAAAATCTGTCAATGCCGTAAATCAGTCATTAATGAAAAATTGGTTGTTGCCTGTATTTTAAGTTTACAGGGAAAGTTGAAAAAAGTGTTAATAAAAAAATAAATCAACTAGAATTTATTTAAAGGAAGGATAAGGAATATTAAAGTAAAATTTAAATATTCTAATTAAATTACATATGTCTGTATGTATGCAAGAACATTTAAACGTGTAAAGATGGTAACACTTCATTTACAATTTAATGTATTTGATCATTTAAAATATGTATAAAGTATGTAATAAACTTCAAGAAATTACCATTAATTTACATAATCACCTTTGGTATTGTAATTCATTTTATGCAACATATTATGAGATCCAAACAAATAGGAATAGCTAATGCACAAATAGACACAGAAAAAAACAGAATACAGAAAGAAGAAATACTAGACATGTAAATAGAAAACCATTTTCTTACAGCTGTCTTTAAACACTGCAGTTTGGACACAATACATACCAATCACCACAGATTACACATGTAGGAAATCTGCATTATACTCACATAGAAGCTACACTACCATCCCTGTTTAGGAATCTCTTCAGAACCTGATAAATGCTACGTTTGCCTTGAGATATATTCGGTCCAAAAGGAAAAATAATAAAAGCTTTTCTTTAAGAGGAAAAAAACCCCAAAACTTGAGGTGACACAACAGTTTCAGTGACAAAACTGTATATTGAAAAACATTTTTAGAGAAGTATGTGGAGCAAGCAATTTAGCAGCATGCAGGAATTATATCCTGATTGAATACACTGGGATGTGGTCCAAACTAATCTAAACTAAAGCAGGTCTGTGTAATAACTTATCTTAACAATCCACAGATGTTAGGCAACCAAACAAATGCTCTGATGAAGGATTACAGTTCTCTAATGTGGCTTCTGGACCTCCATGCGATGCATCAGTAAAATGAAGAGTGTTAGACAATTTTACTCTGGCCTGTCACTTCAAAAATAGTTTCTGTTTACTCTTTTCAGGATGGTGAGTTCTGATGCAGTACGTCATTCAAGACATCCAGAGTCTGGTTTTTGTTGTTGGGTTTGTTTCTGGTTTATTGCATCCTTGCGTAGGTCAATGCATATCCGCGCATGAAGCTATTAAAGAGAACCAGTAAAGGGGTGCTCCTCATTCAAAGGGTTCATATGCATGGCTCTGAAAAAATGTGCATTTTCACAGCATAGCAAAGGCTTCTGGGCTTTACTGCTACATAGCAAAAACAAAGTGGCACATACAGGACTCAGCAGAGGTGGGTCAGCAGTTCCCACACAGATTCACATGGAAACTTTACAGGCTGCGTGAAAACATGCTAGAAGGATCCCATGCTTGCCTTCATGTGGAATACAGTGTATTTCATTCACAGAGAAAATATTCCTCAAACTTACTCTTACAGGTACTGCTGAATGTGATCCACAATGAGTAGGAACAGTATTCCTGTACTAACACAACATGAAATTCCAACTTGAAAAAGCCCATAGTAAATAATATATACAACTATACACACAGAAAAAAAGAGCATTTTCAATTACAAAAATAAAAACACTTCTTCATAATTACATATTTCAAAACTGCATTTTAGAATGCAGAGAAAAGGCTTTTTTCAGATTCAAATTTGGAGACTTCCAAACATGCTCTGGGAGGCTAAAGTCGTATTAGGGGGGACACAAACTTTATACCAAATTTGTGTGACACATGCCAGGCAAAACTCAGACTGAGGTCACAGCAAGTTCCTCAAATCCTTCACCCAAGCCCGGATTCTGAGGAGGCTCCATAAGGAGCACACTCCTTCATGCTTCATGAGTTTAGAAATGGCAAACCCACAGTTACACTGACACCCATGCATCCTGCTTCACCTCTGTACAGCAAATTAGGTAACAAGTGTGCTAATATAGCACAAGCTATTCCTCACTGAACCTTCATGCTATCTTAATTATTTCCCTTCTGAAGGGTGTATACACAACATCTTTTCAGTTTATTGCTTTTGTTAATGTTCCTTTAGCCACCTTCTTCTACACACTTCTAGAAGACACCAGTTATTTCAGACAGATCTAATTAGGCAGACCCTCTTCTCTGCCTGAGGCACCATCAACTTCAGCTGAGCTCTGCCACCACCCTACAAGTCATCTCTTGAAAGTCAGAGGGAAGAAGTGTTATCAATTTGCTCTTACAAAACTATTCATTCACAGAATTAAGTTAGACTATGTATCACTTAATGTTTCTGGGATAACATAAAACATGCAGCAAACCATTAAATTAGTATATAGCATTGCATTTATCTCTTTTGCTATATCAAAATGAATTCTGTAATAAAATTCTAGCTTAAGTGTCATGACAGCTTCACTCCATTAAAATATAAATAAATGAAGCTGAAAATCTACTTGAATCCTTACATTAGTCCAAAATCTAAATAAGTAAACAACTCTACCTTTCTAATGAAAATGTGCTTGTGAATCCAAGCTTTCATTAAACATATTTTTCAAAATGGTACAGACAGCTGAGTTCATCCAACGGCTCCTGGTCACCAAAAGGGAAGGTCTTCTCCCCATCTTCCTCCTCTCTTGCTCTTCTTTATCCCTATGCAGGTTTGCCCTCTCCCTTCCTTGTTCCCAGCTTCACCATTCTGGATGCTCCCTCATATCCCCTCCCTTGACTGTTAGGTCCTCCCAGGAGCCACTTGCATTTAAAAACATAGTAGAAATTTATCTGTATTTTTTAATTGGTTTCATTTTTTGTCACATCTATTTTTCTCATGAAGGGGTATGATAAGTAGTGAAATCACGTGTCCAGGAACAGAAACAAATGGGGGGAAGAGGATGTTTTCTCTACAGCAGTGGCTCGCCACCTCCTGTTAAACTACATCTTGAAATTACACCCATACTAGTACATTAAACTTGCACAGAAATGCTTTTGAGCACTGATGCCAAACGACATGAAATAACCTGCC